AACGGGATCCAGCCCCCGGCGGCCCTCGATCGAGGATTTTACCGTGTATTTTTGTGAGCACCGAAATTAAACGGGGCCGGATGCGGAGTGGCCACCGCAACCCACCGATGGAAAACCGCGGCGCGATCCACTCCTTCTCGTTCGAGATAAAAATAACGATTTTATCCGCCGAATCCGCTTCCCTCTCCGCCGAGTTTTAAAATAAATCCTTGCCTTAGATTCTCGGATCTAATCCACCGTGTTGGGGACGCGTTACAAAAATTATTCGCTTCGAATAACGATAAATCGACTGTCTCGATCGATCGAGAATTACGCGCCTGATTGAAATTAAAAGAGAGAGAGAGAGAGAGAGAAGAAAAAAAGAAGAAAAACCTACAAAGAATGGAAGGAACAAAGCGGTAAACGAGCGTTTAACCGATATAGAATGAAAAACTCGATTCTACTTACGAATATGGAATTGAAGATTTGATCGTAGAATGCGATAGGCGTCTTGAGAATCGTCTCCGCGGACAAGAGCAACCCGTTGGGATCCGTTTGCAGGATCGAGGTACCGGGTATCGAGTAAGGGTAGAGATCGTTCTTGTTCAGGGCTAAGGCGAAGGGCGCGACGAGGGCGAGCACCAGGGCCGGCCACGAGACGACGCCTAGACGGCACGCGCGACGAGTCATTCTCTCTCTCTGACTGCCTTCACGCTACTGTCGATCGACGACGGCGACCACGAGTTCTCTCTTGCCGCCCCCTAATCGCCTTTTGCCCGCTCGTCCTCTCGGCCGCTCTTCTTTCGAACGCATGAAACACCGTCGTCTCTCTGCTCTCTCTCCCTGTGCCGCCGATAATTTCGTGCCGTGGCCCCCCCTCCATCGCGCCAGCCTCTTCGCGCGCGAGTATCGGCGAGCTTTCGCGACTCTGACTGTTTTTAAGCTTTTTTCCCCCTCCCCCCCTTTTCTTTTTTTCTTAATATTTCTTTGTTTTCTTCTATATTTTTAATTTGTTTATTTATTTATTTTTTTTTTTATCATTATTTGTCATTCGTTTCTCGAGAGATTCAGTCGATACTCGAATTCTAATCCCGATTCTAATCCCGTTTTATTACGACGTTTTTCTCGACGGAGAAATGTCAATAATGAAAAGTTATTGGACACGCTGCGTATTGCTGTTGCGAAGAGAAGCGTGTTAACAATCTTCTTTCAAACGGAGAAGATATGGAAAGAAATAGAAAGATCGAGCGATGGACAAATATAGAGGAATGAATTTTTCTATAATTTATTGGAGGATTGTTTTGCGCGATAAAGAGAATTCTAATCGCGGTTAGAGTAAATATTTTCCATCTTATTTACGATAGCTAATTTTTCTTGACTTTTGCAGGCTTTCGATAATAAAAACGGGTTTCCAAGCTCTCTTTATTTTTCTCTCGAACACACGATACACAATTTCTCATATTTACGAAATGAATTTAACGTTATTCGCGCTTACATTTTAGCAGATTTTAGTTATCGTATTATCTGTCGCGCGCACTACACTAACTCAATCGCATCTACACTTTACTCTCTCTCCATTACCAAGGTCTACGGATTATCCAATCTTCACACGCGCCTCGAGAAAGATTTAATTAGGACGAATAATCGGAGGAGCCTCGCAATTGGATTTCAAGGTCGCTCCAATCCGGTTGCCCACATCGAACGATCGTAAAGATCCAGCGATTACCAATCTCCCTCGATCTCCAACCATCTCATCATCGTCGTCGTCGGTGAGAATTTCCTTTCGTACGCTTTCCTCCGCGTTTCGATCGAGAAGCGAAAATCGAATAAAGAAAAAGTAGAGAGAAGAGAACAAAACTAGCGCGGCTAGCAAATAATTCGATCCAATTTCGTTTAATGTCTCAAACTTTCAAACGCTGCTACACTTATTTTTTTTTTTTTTTTTTACTAGACAGACCAGTATCTTCTTCGCGTATCTCACGAGCCTTCCTCTTCCGCGTCATTAGCTCGCTTCCGATTCCGCTTCTAATTACCCTCCTTACCTGCCCGTCGCCATTCATCGCCATTCTGCGCACTAGATTGTGCGCATTGTGCACGCACTTGACGACTTGTTCGCGACATTGTTCCTAGGTCGCGCGAGCCGAATTCCAGATACGTCGCTGCGCATATCGACTCTTGGCTCGGAAACGCGATCCAATAACTTGTCCGAGGAATTCTCGCGTGGAATCTTCCTCTCCCTCGCCTCCTCCTCCTCCTCCTCCTCGTGTCCTCTTCTTCGCAACGGTACCAAATTGTCTGGAATTCGGGGGAGAAAAACTCGTCGATCCAGGCCGGGAGAGGGGGAAGGGAGGAGAGAGAAAAGAGAGTCGCGAATAAATACCTGGATCTGGAAATGGGAATTCGAGTTTTCGAACGATTACGATTCTTGTACTTGATACGTTGTAAATTGATCTTTATTACAAGAAATTACATGACTAATTTGTACATATAAAATATAAATATGGTACAAGTATTATGGTACAGTAGACGCGTGTGGCTTTTTTTTTCTTTTTTTTTTTTTTTTACGTGTGTGGTGGGTTCTCGTGTACGTATGTATGTTAGGTATGCATGTATGTGTGTGTGTATGTGTGTGTGTGTAATAATTCTCGTTACGTTCGCTTCCTCGAGCGGAGGATGATGCGGAGGTCGATTAATCCTTAATCGTTAATCGCTATTTTACTTTACCGGTTGAATCGTCGTTACCAGTCGTGTTTCACGGTAAAGACGGAGTGACGGAGTTTTCCCTAAAACGACAAAAAAAAAAAAAAAAGAACGGAAAGGGCGGTGAGGGGAAAAGGAAACGCGTTAAGTTACGGGAAAGGGAAAGATCGTCGTGCGTATCGAACGTTGTTGAACGCGGTCTGTGAATCGGTCGCAGGACGAGTTCGGGTCGAAGCTAAACTTCGGAAAGAAAGACGTGGAGATCGTGAAGATGGCGCGTGTGCGGTGGCGGGTTAAGAACAGTGTGGAAACATGGACGAATAGCGTACGGGTTCGTTTAACGACGGACAACGACACAGGAGTCTCGATCGGTCCGCTAGCTTCGAGAACGCTAGCTTCTCTCCTCAACTAACGGGGATCCTGCGTTGCTCGGTAATCGAGAAGTAGCCGTCTGCATGCCTTGTCTCGCTCGAATCGTCGAGACCGTCGCGAAATTAAATTAGATTACGAGATCCGCTTTCTCGTTGGCAGTGCTTCTTTGAACGCGGAGCTCGTCACGAACGACACAATTTGTTAAACGATATTCGTAGACGACGCGGTAGATGAATTTGATATTATTGCACGTGAAAGGGAATCGAGCCCTCTCTCTCAGCTTGATACCGTGCGGTATCGAGTCGATCCAAGGTCGAGCGACAAAGGCACGGATGGATATCGGGCACAGTTCGAAAAGCTTGGATATCTCTGTTTCTCAGCGGCGCATTACCGGCATTCCCGGATTTATTTTCATCCGGTCTATTTTCATTCTCCGCGGTTCCATCCCCTCCCTCCCCTCTTCCTTCCTCTACACCCACGCCCACGCCTCGACTCTACGCGAGATTCTCGCGTTTAAACTTCGCGTATGTATTCCATCCCGTGCTCTCTGTCCCTCTTTCGCCCATCGTTCGCCACGAGCCGCCTCTCGAGTTCCATTCGAGGAGGAAAGAGGGCGCGTACCTCGCGTACCTCGCAAC